ATAAAACAAGCTCCTTTAAGTAGGAAAGATGAGGGAACATCATCAAGTTGGCCTGAAACAATTCTGGCCCAGAAGCCCACAAAAAAAAAAAAGTAAAAATTACCATCAACACACTTGAACTCTGCCATTCCCCAAATATATACCATTCTCACTAGGGAAAAAAGCATCTCAGCTATTCAAGACTCTTGAGCAAGATGCTCTTACTGGCAATCTATCAGCTTCATGTTTTAGATCACAACAGTAGGAACACTTGAGGGGAAGCCAGGGTAGGAGCGAAGAGGATATTAAATCCATCACACCTTTAGTAATCCTGGAGACTACAAAATTAAGTAAACCAAATTTATCACAAAACCAGTATCATGATACAGAATTTTTGCAAGTACTGAGCCCTTAAAATTACAGAAAGTATTCCAGAGAACCCAGATAGAAAAAGAGCAACTCTTTTACCATTGTGTTTGGAATTACTGAAAACAACAATCCTTGAAAGGCTGCCTTTTAAGAGGGTCTGAGCTCTTGAGGCAAGATGTAGCTAAAGAGAAATAAGATTTTCCTTTAAGCACCTGTTTTGGAGAAACTTGCCATGTATGAGAAACCACCAGTAGGCTAGTTGTCTTCCCAGCAGCACAGGACTCTTACACCAGTGTTTAGAAGGCTATTGTGGAACCATAATAGGCTGGATTAAATCCTGACATATAGCCCTGGTTCTCTGAAGTACTGAACTGTATCCTTCCCACTGCTCTTGGCATTCATGCTTTGCTTCAGTTTCTGTCAGTGTGGCTACCTGGTACCATTGCTTCAAAAGACAGCTTGCACTGCTTACATATTTCTAGGTGAATGGTTCTTCCTCAGCATTTATCTACCCAATATGGGGGAAGGTGCTAGCTGGTCTTTGTTTTGGACATGCAAGTCTTATTACCTCAAAGAAAGAGAAAATTGCCTACTTTTTCAATAAGCACCATGTATTACTTCAGATCCCTGTTCTGTATTACATAGCAGAAAGCTCAGAGAGCATTGTATTCCCCTGGAATTTCTATCTATATAAAGCTTACATTGTCAGGGAAGTATTCAACCAACCAAATATTCAGAGTTCATCACAAGAGCAAGTAGTCCAGCCAAACCAGGCCTATATGCACGTGTATGCATATGTGGGCATGCAGGCAAAATAGAGGGGAAGCAGAGATCTACAGGAATACTACTCCACAAAGAATGTAGAGTTCTGGGCAGTTTGCACTACAGCAAAACCTATTTTCAACATCACAGCAGTGGCAACACTGAGGAGGCACAGCTTTCTTTGCAGGTTATGAACATTTTATGTATTACTACCACAGAGGTCCATTAATATAAGCAAAAATTGACTTGCCATCAGACTAACCTCTACATAGCAGCTAGAAACAATAGTAAGATAGTCTTGATTTACATTTTTTCTGGAAGAGTTCACAACCCACTGACTACAGTCAAAATGTTCAATGCAAAAATATCTACTGCATAGACTGAAGCACAGATTTCCCACTTGCCTGTAATTGGGAATTGCTTGCAATTCAAAGAAGAAAAGCCACTTCTTTGAAACAGAAACAGCTAAAAATTTCCCAAGGAAGACAGCAAGGTAAAAATCTGAACAGCATACATACCGGATACATCCAAAACAAACAGAAACCTTTAACTATGTACTTATTCCTGTAAGAGGGATACATGTCTGAAGATGGGAGGTAGGAAATGATTGTGTCACTTAGGATAATACGTATCCAAGAACCTTTCTCCAGTATTTTCCTTTAGTTGGCCCATGTCTGAGTCCACTGACTTACTCTTCAGGAACACTTACTCTTCCATGTTCAGTAGCCACAAGTACTTTGATGGTCTTAATGCAGCCACGCTGCTACAGCCTTTACTATGCTGTATGGAAGTACTTTTTCTTTCCAGAGTAAACAGTGGAAGCAAATCTGTAAATCTCATGCATCATTTTCGTTTTCACAGAAGCTAAACAATGGCAATCTAACCTACCAAGCAGCCCAAAATTTACCCTGCTTCATCAGAGCAGGTACCAGTTCCCTTTGAGGAGTCTGACAGGAAAAAAAATCTGTCTTTGCTTAGAAGACTTCTACCAGCACTTTCCAAGAACCTTCTTCCAGAAAAGCACATCCTGTACCTGTCTGTATTTCAGCCCCGTTAAAATCCATTTCTTGAGAATCAAGACAGCAGCAGGTTCCTTGCACTTAACCCTGACCCCTATCCTCAAGACAACAAGCAGAACAACTGCCTGCCTTAATGCTTGGATGACCCAAATGCTGTTACATATACTATTTGTTATATATGCACCTATGTTACATATACAAAATTGCTCAATTAGAAGTGGGTCCAAGAGAAGCAGAATTCCTTAACTCAGTTTCAGTGACTGCTAAAAACAGGCTTAGATTTTATTGGTTTGATTTCTTTGAATAATATTTGATGGCATTACCTCAAAATCCATTTTTAGAAGGAAAATATCTCTAACACTATGGAATAAATCTGTTTCAGTGCCAAAGATCCCAGTATTTCTTTCACACCTGCAACAAGAAAAAAGACTCAAATTCTAAGGAAGCTTTCAATTATTTTTTTCCTGGGATATAGAGGAAGACAACTGGACACCAATCCTGGAGCAATTCAAGAGACACTCATACTCATTTTTCAAGTCTTTGTGCCCAGGATATTATAGCTTTACGTGTAAGAAAGTGTATCCTCCAAAAGGAATTACGTCCAGGCTGGGCCTGGCTCTGACATTTCTCTGGGTGCGTGGTGACTTAATAGCTGGTCACACAGAAGATGAGCAAGGCAGACGTGAACTTTCTTTCTGAACACTTTCCATTTGCATCTGAGATGGAATGAGAGGTTCTGTTGAACTTAACTCCTACATTACAGGACCCTTAAGCTCTGCAACAGCAACTTAGACTGCAGCTGGCACGCTGCATTTTTTTTTTCTTTTCTACACAAAAATAGAGATAAAAGCAAGACAGAGATGGCCTCTCACTAGTCTGTATTTGTAATGCAGACACAAGGCATAATGATTTGTTCAGGAGAGCAGCCTTTAGAGAATACACCATTCTCCCCAGTAGCTTCCACAGCTACCACATGACACAACCATCTGGTCCTCTAACAACTGTCTTTTGTATGTTCTTGCAAGGAGTCTGGCAAGAGATATCAGAAGTATATGCTCCTGCAAATCTAACGGATCTGCTGCTGCTAACAAGAGCAGCACTAGAAAGAAGCAGAGTATGAGGAGTACTAATATACCAGTGAGTGTTCCACCCTGCTAGACTCACATACATCTTTGATAGAGAACTGTACTATGGAATACTAAAAGTTATCCAAATAACCTATCAGATCTGTAATAGGTCACAATAAATCCAGAAAAAACAAGATACAACTTGGGTCCTGTATCATAAAGTTTCCAAACTGAGGACGGTTAACTTAAGCAACAGTGACAATCCAGATAAACCTATAGGCTCCAGTGGTTTCTCATCAGGAATGAAGCACATCTGTTCTTACTGAGCTGAAGATCAGAATCTGACCTTTGGAAAGGACATAACAAGGCTTAGGCCCCAATATTGTTCCAGCAGCACAACCAGACGTTGAGGGATAACGATAGGGCAGTTTGATATTGGCAAATTCAACTGAAATTTTAATCTAGACGAAGAAAAAGGACAAATTAATACAAGCTGCAGGAAGCATCTACAGCAAACTACCTTTTTACACAACTTGTTCAACATGTCTTCAGACCTACTTCAAAAACTAACAGTACACAGATGAGGTCAGCCTGCTATCAACTGTGGTTAACTGATGAACTTTTGCTCAAGAAGGTATCAGCTCTGCAGCATGCCTCCTGTGCACCTCACACAGTTGTTAAGAGAAATATTAATTGCCACATCTGTATGCTAGAAACCTCACAGCTCAAGGTTCACAGAAGCTCTTTACAAAGTTCTATAATTTCCTAGATCTACTACCACATCCAGACAGAGGCTTGACAATGTATGCCAAGCAATGCACTTCATTTCTGTGCTTTTCTTACTCTTAACTTCTTTTCATCAACTTTCCTCTCCCACTCAGATTTATCTCCCTCTTCTGCAGAGTGCATCATGGCTGCTTTGTCCAGTGTCATTCAGCAGTGGAGGAAACTGGAGGCTGGCTGAAGTGTCAGGTGTAGTTTGTTTTGTTGGTTTTTTTTTTGGTGGGTTTTTCTGTTGTCTTTTTTTTTGTTGTTGTTGTTGGTTTGGTTTTGGTTTTCATTTTTACTTGACTAAACAGTAGACCTGCTTCTTCCTGACACCTAATAAAGGAGAAATAATAAAGCTCTCCAAGCTTTTTTATCATCCACTCTTTCTTCCAAGCTTCTTCCTAATTTTCGTAATTTCATATATCACCTCTAAGCTATCTTCAAATGCCCTCTTATAAACCTCCTGATATCCCCCATATTGCCTCCACCTAACTAATACCTTTCTCTTTGGCCTCAAGATGTGCTTTCATTTCTGAAAAATATTCAGACAAAATAAGCTGTAATATCCTGCTGTTTAACCAAGCTGTTTTATCTCAAATTTTTCAGACATATTTGGTGAATGTTTAGAATAGCCATCCTATTCTTACTGGGTTTTAGGAGCAGAACAGCTTCCTGATCTAATGGAGGAAATCTAGCACCAGTAATCTACTAATAATCCCGATAGCAAGTACAACAAACAAAACAGAGCCAGTGTAATTTCAGTCCACAGTAAATGAAGGGCACAAATAAAAATAATTTAATTTCTAAAGCCGGAAAATTATGTGGTCTAGCAATAGCTTTCTTAATTCTTGCAGTGCTTAAGAATCTCTAAATGAAACCACAAATACAATCATTCACTGGATTCCCAAAGTAGTATGCCCTTTGGATCCATGCCAGTTATACACAGGCACAAAGTATTTTCCCTTACCTACCTTCCTTATCAAAAAAAGAAAGCATTGTCTTATTTCTTCTTGCTGCTTTGATGAGACTTACTTACCGCTTCAGAATTATCAATGAAAGGGTCTGTTTCATCATAACCATAGCCTATATCAATTAGATCCTGCAGGCGATCCTTCCGATGTTTGTGGGGCTTTCCACCCTGAAAACAAAGCAAGCGTTCTATCAGTTGGGAAGCAATGTACTAAGATCTACAAAACATAAGGCACTGGAGGGATGGTCATTCAAGAAATTAGCAGTTCTGCTTTCTTGGATGCTTCCTTGAAGATAGTCCAGTTGACTAATGAAAACTTTTACACAGGAATGAGTTCTGGCAAACATGCCTCACTATAGCCTCACCAGAATCATCCCTGAAAGGTATTCACTAGCCAAATGCTTTCTGCATGACCAAGATCTTCCTAACACTTCCTATTTAGAGATGTTTCACTGTCCTATGTTTTTAAAACATTATGATAGGACTGTTAGTGATAGAAGGACTGGGATAATTCAGAAAGTGTTAAGTTTTTCAGTATGTTACAGAGTCGTTACAAAGGCAAATACTGATAGCCCAGCAATTCGGTAAAGTGCTTCCCCATACAAGATGGACTGCTTCTCTACAGAAAAGTGAAGCCTAGTCAAAAGTGAAAAAATATTGATCTTGGACTTGCAGATATGGTAGCTATGAGTTTTCAAGAAGCTACAGAATTCATATGACATAACTGAAAAAAAAACATATTAAGATAAAATCCTTTGAAATGCAAGAGCTGTCATGTCACCTCAACTGATAGGACTGAACATGAAATGATTACTTGAATAACAAAGTCAGAAGCTGCATCACAGATTGTGGGTTCACTTACCTGTAGGAGACAGTAAATTTCATTTTAACCTGTAAGTACTTTTCCCATGTGAAAATTTTGTTAAATCAAGTGGAAAAAAAAAGAAATCATACCCAGTTCAATCATTTGGGGAATCTAAACAGTTATACAAATTGAAACCTGCTTAGGATAAGGCCTAGTTTTCTGACTCCCATATATTGTGAAAATTGCCAACGTAAGTCTTCAAGGATAAAATTCTGCAAAAGGCACTGCCTTCACTAAAATGGTAACCAGTGTTCTTCCGTGAATTTAACAAGACTTGCTCCTGAAGCTTCTCTGCCTGTACTCTACAGTCCTAAGCATGTTTAGAATTACTCTTTTCAATTATGACATCCAAATATCACAACCCACTTGGTACTCTGAGTACAAAGACACCGTTCAAAGAAGGTTGCATCCTTGCTCTTTTATGAGAAGCATAAGCAACTGAACACCTCAATTTTAACAATAGTAACAAGCTTGAATTCTTGCAAAGTAAGTAAAGCATGCGTTCTTGCAAGCAAACAGGAATCTCTCTAGTATAATTAAATAAATGCAGTAGTCCTAGGAGAAAAACCCTCAAAAGTGAGTTCAATTTTTATTTCAGGTTTCCAAGCTATATTCCAAGCGTCAGGTTTCTAAGCTAAGTAGTCCTAACTTTTCCTATCAGTCACTTATCTGTTAAAACATCTGAATGACTGTACATTTCCAAAGCATGCAGTGCTTTTTTTCTTTTTAAAAAGAGAGTTTGTATGAGAGAAGAAAAAAAAACCTTAAGAAAATAAAGATAGCACTTAAGAATTCTGTTTAAACTCCATTGTAATGTAATTCTTATGATTCTGACTGAAGTGCCAGCAGGTTGTCTGAAGAATGCTACGTAAACTATACTTTACCTCTACTGATCTCACTAAAGTGTAATGCAATCCACCTCTGTACCACATCTCCTGTTAAGCCCAAGTAACCATCAACATCCTTGTTTGTGAGTCCAAAATCCTTTTGCAGCAATAGCTACTCTATGATTCTATTACTTCAATGTATGGGCATTAAAAAAAAATTAATTACTTGTCAATACATTCTGACTGTCTGCTGTTCATAAAAACATAGTGCATATATGGCACAAAGTTAATAACAAAAAAACGAAGTCTCCTAATAGCTGAATGAATAAAAGTAGGGTTAAAATAGCATCCGGTATTCAGACACATGAAACTATCTGAACCACTGCATGTATAATTAGAGAATTTCCTTCAGGCCTGGTTCTACCCAGTCATGTTTAAGGAAGTGTTGAAAGTCCGTATGATCAAGATGTTAAGGGTGCAAGACCACAGCAGAAGAACTGAAAGGATTACCTGTATCAGTGCTTACTATACAGCAGTTCAGGCAAGTTTTACCACTGAAGCTTTTAACCTTTCTCAAGAGAGTTCCCCCAACCTTTCTGTCCCAGAACATAAGCAGTCACAATACTGGGGCAAATTAAGATGTCTAGCTCCTGAGGCTGCAAACAGTAATCATGTAAGTCTTCAGAAAACTCGAATAAGAGTTCAACAAATTAACTGTGGCATGCAAACCAAGGTTTAAACAACCTCTGTCCAACAGGACTACAAGGCAGCAAATACAGTGCCAATTTTTGAAGTGTTCCAAGGGCCATACCAGCAAACCTGGTATCTATAGTGAACAAGTTAATAGAATTTATAAAGAACAGAACCAACAGGCACAAGAATATACATTCCAGAACAGGAAAAAATTTTGGTAGAAGGAAGCAGTACTTCAAATACCTTAAAAAAAGTCCAAAGATCTTTAAAGACAATGAACTATAATGTGATAAGTGGGAAGGTCCACACAAATTAATGTCTAGTTTAAGGCTAGTAAAGAAAGGGTAGGCATAAATATTTGATTCTGGCAAAGAAAGTGATCGGTGAAATCAAGGAGTGTGTATTCATTCATCTTCAGAAGCAACAGAGAGGGCTAACAGTTGGGGAGGTTAGTGAGATAACCGAAATTACTGAGGATAGTAAATTAAAAAAAAGACCAACTGAAGAATCACTGAAAGACCTCATAATTGCTCTGAACTTCATATGATAAATCAACAACTGAATTCAGTATCAATAAAAGCAAGGTACTCCACACAAAGGAAGTATAACCCAAACAAGAAAAAACAGAGTGTCCTCCCAATTTGTTATGCTGCTCAGGAAGCACTGGAGTTGTTACAGTTCCATGACATTTGCTCAACAATCAAGAATGGTCAAAAAATTAAAGAACTGGGACTTATGAGAAAAAGAACAGAGAACAAAACCAGAAGTCATCATTATGTCACTGATAAATCAGGGCAACCTACCATTAATATCCTTTCATTTAAAAAAGAAATTGGAACAAAAAAGGGATCAGTAAGCCAACAAGGATGTTTAAAGGTAAGAAAGTGCTTCCATGCAATAACAGAATGTTAAAACACTTCACCTGGGGAACAAGAGGACTGAATTTAGATGATAACATCAGAATCACATGCAACATGTAGAAGAACAGGAAATATTTCACTATTTCTTACAACACAGAAACTATGGAGCACCAAGTGAACCCGTCAGGTTTAAACACAAAGTATGTTTTCATACAACATAATCATTATGGTACTCGGTGCCATGGAACACAATGTAAAATTCAGTGAACTCAAAACGATCTGGCAAATTTATGGCAGAAACCTATATAAAGGGTAGTTAAACATGCAGCCTTTGGCTTTGGGAAAAATTAAGCCAGGTAGCTAGACAGGCACACTGAAGTAATACCAATGCATGCTTACTCTGTTATACTTTCGAGTATGAGATTTCACTAGTGCCAGAGGACTATGCTACCATCCACTAGATGGACCTTTGTTTTGATCCAGTAAAAATTCTTACGTTATGAACAATATCATCTAAGATTTAATACCATGTTTTTACAACACAGTGTTCGGTATTGTCTAGAGAGTAACGGTAATCAAAAGAGTAAAATGGGAACCATTCGGTACAGATTTTTATGCTGGTATTTAAAATGTGCAGCAATTGCAAAAATGTTCTGAATCATCAAGTAAACAAATAGTACACTAACTTCATGCACGTTATTTTATGAATATATATTTATTTGTAGGCTTTTTTGTAGTATTTGCAAGATATATCCAATATTGTACTCATTTGATTGTGAGTACAGGAATTTATCTGAAAAGAAGTAGAAAGTTTTCAAGGAAGACTGTTTTTCACGAACCAGTTATTTCAAAAGTACTGTCACACGTGCTATGATTAAAAAGACTGACTCAATTTTAAATTGCTGTAGATAAGTAATACCTTATTAGTTTAAGGAGGATATAGTACTTCCTGCAAATCTGAAAAATCCCTCTACTTCTTTCTTATACAACCAGTGTTTACTTTTACACTAAAGCGCTGTTAAAGAGAATGGATATCTACTTCATGGGATCCCTGTTCTTAAGCTGAGGAGCTAACATCTCACCACAAGGATCAGAAGATGCCTGGATGCTGTCAGAACATGAGCAATTGTACTAGGTCAATGTACAGAGATGCAATTCCTCTGAGAATGGATGGTAAGTAGAGACTGATGATTCTCATATTGGAAGAGAGAAAGGACAGGGAATATCTAACACAAGAAATATTAATCCCCCAACGCTCTCCATGCTTAGCAGCCCTAACCTAATAAGTTGTTCTTTATATAGAAGACGTGCCCCTTCCAGGAATTTTGTGGGGCTGAGGGACATAAGGTATGGTAAAGAATGAAAGGCAGGCAAGAAAATCAGAAATGCAAATAGTAATCAAGATACAAGTGCATCATGAATTTAAAGTGTTGTAAATGGTTTTTGTTACCTGCTGCTTTTGTTACCTACTGCTTTCTAATAGTTAAAAGTACCTATTTGCCCCTTTTTCTGACTACTGAGAACTGACCTCGAGTTTTCCTAAGTCTCATAACACCATATTTTGTACATAAATGCATGTTTAGATTTGATGTACGCATAAATGTGTATGTAAAATTAGATTGCTTGCACTACCACTCCCCTCCTACATATACTGCTTTACATGCTCTACACTGACTTTCATCTGCTGTAGTTAAGCAACTTGTTTCAGGACACTATAAAATCCTTAACTTGTATTATGGAAATGAGTTTTCTAGAAGAATACAGTCAAAACATTTCTCTCATGCAAAAAATAATTTCTCCTTCAAATGAAAAGCAAACACTGTTCTGGAACTGCTTTATCAATTCACTGGGTATACTGGGTTCCGTCAATCCCTTCGAAATATGAAAACTATTCTTTTCAGTTCAAGGGTTTCTTTTGTTACGTATCACACCTAACATGACCTGAAACAGTAATTACTTCTACAGAACATACAGACATGGCACTCAGAAAAAATTGCCTTTGCTGGAAGAAAAAAAATCCAAACACATTGGACAAGAAAGATTAATGTGTATATTAACAGCAAAAGATACAAATGACTGCTCGTTTCCCTTCTTTATTATTGAGGTGCTCTATTAGTAATCCAGAATATCAACATGCCTAAGCATGATGATGTGTTTTGATTGCCAGCTCAGAATTAATCACCCAACCCTACCCATGTGAATTCTTAAAGACCTGTTCGGGTGGGGTTTTAGTCAACATTTTACGATTTCTTCCTTCATTTATTAGTGAAAGCCTCCTTATGTTACTACCTAGTGCTGTTCAAGTCATTCATGCTACACTTTCAGGAGTCAGCAGAGTATCTTTAGGCAGCTGGCAGCTACAAGATAAACTCATCAAGCAGTGACTTATTATTCAACAACAACTTCCTATGGAAGCATTCCAAACTAGTCAGAAATTCATCAAGATTCACCACTATTTAGCCCAAACAGAAGATCTGCTCAATAGTGCACCACAGCATTACATTTAAAACAAAAAAAATTTTTCCTCTAGCACAGTATTCATCACAAATATCAACCTGCATCTATTATTCAGTTGTATTTCTACAGGAAGCTCTTCTAAGAATAGCTTCACAAGCTGTAACATCCTATAGTCAAATCTATTTAGTAGGCTTGTCTAATAAGCTTGCAGCAGCTTCAAGCTGCTTAAGTGAAACACAATGAGACAGTCAGCTCCAAAATGTACACAAGTCATCTGACACTACCTTAGCAACACTATTCAGGAAAAAAAATTATGTTAACATCTCTATAGCATCATGAATTATCACTATTAAATATTTGTATATTTTAATACAGGTACAGTAACTCACATATTTTGCCTCGAACTTCTTGGCTAGCATTTCTACTTCATGCCGCTCACGTTGTTCATCATTAAATGGATCTTCCAAGTGAACCGATTTCTTCTGAAAAATGCAGAAGTTAATTCATTCCATAAGAAACACGCAGAGTGCATCTAATAAAAACCTATTAAATGTCAATAAACAATGCTCTAATGACCAAATAGTCAGAACTTATACTGAGTCCAAGTACTTACTTTATTCTCTAAAAATTAGTTTGACCTGTTCAATTATCATTCAGTTACTTTTCTTCTAATGAGAACACAAACAGAAAAAATTAAGAGAAAGTCTCAGATTTATATTCTTCCAAGCATTCCAGTACAGCCTCAACTGACAAGCATAAGCGTAAGAGAAAACTATGGCCATTTGAGGTTCAAAGAGAAAGAACTCTCTCTAAACACATCTCCTTTTCATTTCTGCTTTCACTGATGCCTCTTATTGGTGCTTCTAGATACAATACACAAGATGTACCTGGTACACTCATCATCAGGGAAGCAGCCAGTAAAAAGCTTAGTATGTTACAAACAGAACTAATGTAACTCCTTTAACTCTTCTGCTGTCATTTTTTTCTTCAGATAATTTCAGTAATCATAGCATGAATTCTACAAGACTGCCACTATGGCAGCCACAAGGATAAGAGAGATTGAATATTCCAGCTGAACAAATAAGCAGGAAGTATCGCCCCTCCTTTTTTTGAGAAAGAGCTTTTCAGTGACATGAAGTCAATGAATAGTAATCACGGGTATATGTAGTGCCTTTTTTTTTTTAAATAAGGTATGGCAGAAAAACAGGGCTGCCTTCAAATTAGAGTTCACATAAAATACAGTAATTGTTGCAAGGGGGGAAGGTACTAGGATGCTTAAATAGGGTGAAATGGGGTTCCATTTTACAGAACTTTATGGATGGCAACTAATTTTACTGCATGTGGACCACTCATTGGTGAATAAATGAAGACTTATGGTATACTAAGACAGAAAAAAAGCAACATTAAGTTCAGAAAAGCAAAATCCTTCCTCCACAGTATAAAAAGCCAATATATTGACTAAATGGTGGCCAAATAACGACAGACTGGCTCAGTAGTATCAAGACCAATGTAATGAGGAAGGTAAGCTGAGAAAAACTGCCAGCATCACATTACTGTACATTTTCTACGCCGAGTACTTAGAGGAAAAAAAAAAACAGAGGTCATAGTTAATCCTGAAACTTAAGTTTAAGTTACCTACATATTTCCTGGAGGCATGATTAAATATAAAATACTGCTCAATTCATGCAATATCTTTTCCACTTTTAGCTGGGAAAACCTATTCCATATCTTCTGCTAGGCAAATGCAGGTTTTTTTGAGTTGTGAAATGAGGTAAGGCTGAGGCCAGAGGTCAAGCAAAGTAACTTGCTTCTCTCCACCAAACTCTTAAAGCTGTAACTATCACTTTGTTCGGTTAAGCACTACTGAAAGCTCAAATTCAGACAAGTTTTAGTTTTGGTGGTTTAAGGACTCTGAGGGATAGTTCGCAGATGTTGCAGCAACTAGGACGTTACTCCTCAGCACCTTTACAGAATCCAACTTGGGCTCCTGGCTCACCTGCTTTCAGTTTTACACACCAAGCTTCAACTGCACTGACAAAAGGGAATGCACTCTCACTTCTGCTGTTTTTTAAGAGACAACTAAACTCTTTAATCACATTAACTTACCACTCACATCCAGAAACTTTACATAAATAAGTCCTACCAAAAGATGAACTCTACCAGCACCCTATCAAAGGACAGTCTCTTTATCAAGGCAAAAAAGCAGGACATGGACAGCATGAGTTTCTAACAAGCATTTCCACTAGCTTCTGATTCAGGCTAGGAACCCAAATTTGTAATAAAAAAAAATTAGAAGTTGCACTCATACTGTCAAATAAGTTTTGGGATTCTCCACCCTTTCATTAAAAGACCTATTAAAGCAATGTTTTAAGTTATTCCAGTGCATCAGTCCTTGCCTTCCCACAACAGCCTGCCTCTGGAGAACCTTTCGTGGTTGCTTCAGTTCCAAGCAACACTACAAGACAGAAAGACAAGCTGTTAAATTTGTAATGCTGAACTTGAATAGGAATAGTTATAAGGTAGCCAAGCAACTTCTTATAAGGGATAAGTTGTCAACAATAGCTTCCAGAAAATCTCAATCTTCACCCTACAGTTTGCATAGCTAAGTTTATATGAACTGTTCATTTTAAACTGAATCATTACTAAAACAAAAACATTTTTGGAAATCTAAAACTCCACTTAAAACCCCAACATCAACTGCTGACTAGTCACTGCCTACTTGGAAAGAGCACATCTCATTGATTCTGCAGAAAAGTGGTAGAGGGAAGGCATTTCTTGGTCAAGCTTCACTTTAACAGAGTAGTTTGCTGCATTAACTGGTATAAATCACCATAGCTATTCTACTCCACAAGCAGGATCAGTTTTTCTTTCACAATTTTGTTCTATTGTAGGACTTTAAACAGGTTACACACCAGGGTAAAAGACAGACTTCTGTCATCCTGAGCCTCCTACGCTGTGCTGAGCAAATTATACTCTTGTATTTGCTTTAACTGTGGAGGAACCAGTATGCACTAATTTTAGTGCAGGATAAAATGTGTTTCCCCGCTCTCTTCATGTCAATTAATGTAAGATTTTAAGTCCTCCCTCATATCAGAGTAGCTTTCCCAGATTCTACCATATAACAAGCAAAAAGTTAAACTGACAGGGCCAAGTACACATCAGTTCTTAAACAAGAATAAAAGTCCAGAATCACTTTAAAAGGATCACAATTTATGACACTTTTACATAAATCAGCTGATTGTTCCACACAGTCTAGCAACAGACAGGCCATTATGATCCATTCTTTTCAATCTGGACTCTACAGAGAGCTGAAAAACATACATAATTTCTTATAAAGCATTTCTATCACTATGTCTACCTTAAAAGCAGTCTCTGATCCCAACTGTACCAAAAAATCCCCTAAGCCAGTGCTCCCCCTCAGAAGACATAGAATTTGCATCCGAACTACATAAAAAGCCATTTTTCCCCAATTGTGGGGATTAACATATTATGAACCTACAGAAAAAAAGGCAGTTATGGGAACTGCCAAAGGGCAAAGTCAACCTCCACTTACCAAGCCACTTCTAAAACACAAACATGTTCACCTTCATACAGGAGCTGCTCACAAAGATGGCACTTGACAGAGCAGCACGCTTATGCTACACCAGTTCAGAGGAATCAAAACTGGCACTGTTTGCCCGCAACAGCTGTAGCACAGGATGAACAGAAGGAACCTTTTAACTTGCATCAGAAGATCTCAGAGGGATTAAAGTCACAGTCATTGATTTTTCTGTCTTCCACATTTGAACACAATCCAGTGTACACATCCCTCCCACTATAGAATAAAAAGTGAGCAGGCTTCTAAGTATAGTTATGGCATCATCATCATCACCACCACCTAGAAACAGCCTGGTTTGTAAAGTGTAAGTTTTAACCATTCTTGAATTTGTGCTGGATGTAAAAATCCAACAGTGGTATCAGTACTGGTATTTGAGATTTGCTTTTCTCACCAGAGCTATCATAACCTTGTTAGTAGTAGTTACTTCCTTGCCCCCTGCCCTTACCATAAGATATAAATCTCCTCTGCAATTGTCTGTATTGGAATTAAGAGGAGCCACAACTATCTAAATCAAGTGCAACTTCACCGGTATCCTCATCTTGCTGAGTGGCTTAAAAGCGAGCCATGCGTTTCTCCTTCCTGCTTGAACACTGGGTCCTGTTGATTGGCTAACACTGCTTGCTTCTTAAAGTCGTCTGCACAAGCTTTTCTCCATAAAAACCAAAGTAGTTCAAGTACCAAATGTTTTCTGGTTGGGAAGAATAGGAAAATGGAAAATACTTTTTTTCTTCAATGAAGCTCTTAACAGTTACAGGTGAGGTTATAATTTCAACAGCATTAACTCCCATTCATCCCTGCCCCCACAAGACTGCAGAAACTCGTCTTTAATGAGTCTGCTAGCGCTCACTTCACTGCTTCTCAAGGCTTGTAGCAGAGCCGAGCCAGTAACTCTTCATATACCTGCACACAGCCTACAGACAACCTGGAAAACAGGCCGGCACGCTAAGTTTTAGTTCAACTGCCGGAAAAAAACTCGCAGGAAGAGAGGATGCAACACTACCGCTGCCCAGGCAGGGAAGGGAAGGGAAAAGGGGAGGGGAGCTGGGGTAAGCGGGGCACAAGGCACTGGCGATCCCCCGCCCCTGCTCGCAGCACACGCCAGGAGCTCCGGGAAAAGCCACCCGGGAGCCCTCGGCCGGCTCAGGGACAAGTGCGAAGCGTCCCCTTCTCCGCCGTGGGCACAGGCGCAGCCTCAGCACCAGGAGGAGCCCGGAGCGACGGCGAGGCCGCCGGACTTGCCTCCAGGGCGCCGCCCCGCCGTGCCGGGACCACCCCCGGGGAGACCCGATAACATTATCGGCGAGGCCGGGGGCGCGGGCAGCTGCCCGCCGGGGAGAGGAGGAGGAGGGGGAGGAGGAGGAAGAGCGGCGGGGCGCGGACGGCGGGAGGGGAGGGGGAAGGGGAGGTCCCGTACCCGCGAGTCCCCGCACAGCAGCAGCTCCGGGTAGCTGAACTCCACGCAGCCCTCCTCGGTGGGGTCCTTCAGCACCACCTCCAGGCGGACCGTCTGGCGGAGCGGGAGCGCCTCCTGCGGCGGCGGCGGCTCCTGCCGGCTGCCCTGGCGCGGCGGCGGCGGCGGCGGTAGCTGCGGCGGCGGCGGCAGCGGCGGCGGCTCGGGCCGAGGGGGCTCCCGCTGCGGCGGCGGCTCCGGCCGGCCGGTCTCGCGGGGCGGCTCCAGGCGGGCGGCGCTCTCGCGGGGCGGCGGCGGCGGCTCCGGCCGGGAGAGCTCGTGCGGCGGCTCCGGCGGCGCCAACAGCGGCGCCTCGCGGCCCGCCGGCGGCGGCTCCGGCTCGCGGCCCCCCGGCTCCCGCTCCAGCGCCGGGCTCTCGCCCTCGCGGCGCCTCACGGGTGACAGGCTAATGAACGGCACCCGGCGCGGCTCCGCCATCCTCCGCCGGGCCCCCCCCCTCCCACCCACCCCCCGCCCGCCCGCCCGCCGCTCGCCGGCCCCCGCCTCACGCGCTCGGTGACACCGCGCTCCCTCCCACCGGCTCCTCCTCCTCCCTCTCCCCTCCCCCCTCCGCCGCCCGGTCGGAGCTGCCCCCTACGTTCTCCTCGCCGCCTCCACCCCCGCCATCTTGGCGCCCCCCCACATAAATAGAAGCAGGCCCGCAGGCCGCGCAGGCGCACCGCGGCCGCCGACGCCGGCGCGCCGCCCCGCGTCGCTGTTGTTATTGCTCAGCTTCCCCCGCGACGTCAGCGCGGCCGCCGGCGCCCGCCCCCAGTTGCCTTGGCGATGTGCACGCTGCCCTGCCGTCGGCGCCTTAAAGGGCCCGCGGCCCGCCCGGCCGCCCGCCCCCCTGCCGCCCGCCCCGAGCCGCGCGGGGCGCCCCCGCCCGCCGGCACAGCCTCGCGGGGCAATGGCGGCCGCGCCGCCTCCCCTCCCCCTACCGCCCCCCCCACACCTCGCGGCTGCCCGAGGGCGGCCGTTGGCGCCAGGGGAGCGGGGATCCCCCCCCCCCCCCCCCGCCCCGTTCCCCTTCCCCTTCGGCGGGAGGGGCAGCCCCGGGCCGGGCTGCTTCGTGCTGACGGGGCGGCGGGAGCAGCCTCGGCGGGACCGGGGCTACCCTCGCCGCCAGCAGCGGGCGTTCACGGGGCGCTGCAACGCTCGTCCTCTCGGGATCGCGTGGGATGGGTGCCGGGGCCGCGGGCCTGCTTAGAGGAAGGTGCTCTGCGGCCTCTTGAATTCGTAGGTCAGTCACCGGAAAGAAACACCCCAAAATCCTAAACATTGACCGGGAGTTCGGTGGAGGGGGTGACCGGCCGTTTGCACGCTGCAAGGGCGACGGTGCGAACGCGTCTTGTCTCGGTGGCGTCAACACACGCCCTGTCTGAAGCGCGGCGGGATCGGCTGAGGAGATGAGGGTTTGACAAAACCCCCGTGGAGGGTTGAGCCCGGCCTGCCCCTGCAGAGCCGCAGCCGCTGCCCGGGCGCCAGGCTGTCCTGAGGAGAGGCGGGTTGTTCTGCCGCCATGGCTGGTCTGCAGGGCACCAGTTCTGGTTGCAGGGAGCGGCTGTGGGTTGGTGAGGAAGAGTTGTCGCCGAGACGGGGGACAACGCAAGGGAGGCAGGGTATGAGCAGCAGCGAGACTTTCTTCATGAGCAAGAGCTGCCTGCAAAGAATGCAAGTGTTTCAGTCTGTCACCACCTCCTTTGACAGACTGAAGGCTGGTATTTCCAGATGGAGGTGTGCCACCAAAGCGCTGCCAAGTTTCAGGAAGCTATGAACATCTTCATGTGCATTGTATTCTCCAGCTTCATTGGAGCAGCGAGAAAGACGTTATCTTTTTTTAGCTCTTTTTTAGCCTCAGAAATACTAGGTAGAAGGAGTTTTGTTTTGTTTTGTTTTGTTTTTAAATGTACTCATGCAAAGCAAACATAATTTACATATGTATATTATTTTGGATGATTATAGCAGACCATTCTGTGCAGCACATCACTTCCCACACTGCATGCATCACAGTGCTTGATGTTTTCCTCTCATTGCATATGAAGTATTTAGACTTGACTGCTTACTTTCATCTATACTCCAGAGAAGATCCATAGACGCTAGAATGGTGTTACTGAAAGTTATGATTTCACTAATAGGGAATGGAGGACATTCCAGAATACTGCTTGCATCAGAGAGTCGGTGGAATGACAGACCTGATCTGAGAAATGCAGGCTATCTCCTTTTGAAGCTTGGAAGGCTTTGTTAAGCTTTATAGTCAAAGGGATTTGTTTTATCTTAAAACCTTGCATGTTCTAGTACGACTAGCAAGCTCGGTAGAGGTATTCCTCAAATATGTTTTTACTTTCAGCATTGTAATAAAATTATTTGGAAATCCCACTTACTCTCCTGTTGAGAATTTCATACAGCTGTCTGATGATGCACATAGTAGGCAATGTATTTCTGTATTAAAACTGAGTGAGTGTCACTAAGCTGCACACCTGCAGATCCTGCCTGGAAGTTTCTAGTTCTCATCAAAGTTTCTGTGTAGTCTATGTCATTAAACCTTGCAGTGGTAGAAAGGGGGCTTTCCTCAGCAAAAGGGCCATTTACTGCCTAGCAAACAAAAGGCTTACATGGAAATCAGGGGCTCTTCTGCTGTGCTGATGAATGCTTGTTTTCCATTACCAGATGGGAGACTAGACATTGAAATAAGTACAACAGGAATACAACAATTTTTGTTTGCAGGTTAATACTTGGACATATCGATGGAAAGGGGTGAAGATAGGCTGTGCATTTTAAGTATCCAGCCTAAAACCAAGTTCTGTCTTTCAGTCCCCTAAGTTACATATTCAGAAGTAATGAATGTAGGACAGGCACTCCACAAGAAAATGAGTTATGCAAGTATCTGAATTCAGTACTTTATCTCAGTTGTAGTATAGACACACCTAGGGGCACATCCTGGTCAGATTTTTAACACACTTTTTAAGTAAGAGAAAAATCAGCTGGATAGGAATAACTCATCTGACCTATGATAGGGTTACAGAGAAAAACAATTGTTCTTGGAAATAGTTTCAGGTAGCCATTTGTTCTGAGATTGCAGACTTTGATAGTAGAAGTAACCTTTCACATCTAAGGTTTTAATATATATTTGCTACTCTGTTTGTATACTCCTGCTTGCTCTCTCTCTTCTGGGTGTTTAATTAGACAAATAAACCCTCATATTTATATGCTATCTAACCTTTGAGCATCTTGGAGCACATATCTTTTCTATGAGGCTCAACATTTGTTTAATGCAACTAGACAAACAGAAGTTCTGGATCTTTGAATTTAAAGAGAAGTTACCAAAGTCAGCTTGCTCTGGATCTGAGTATCTGAACTAAATCGGAAATAAATTTGGCAGCAGATCCAAGCATAGCAGTTACTGGGATATATTATCACTATGCTTGGTCTAAGATACTGAAAGCACTCAGAAAAGACTCCCAAGAAACAAACCAAGTCCACTAGATCTTAAGTTTTCCAGGAATTTAGTTTTGAAGGCACCAGAGGAGTTACAGGCTTGTGCCATATCAAAGAGTTTCAAGAGGAGTTAAATTTCTATTTTTATCATTTTGTTTTTCTGTTCTGCTATCTGTTTTGTTCTTTGGTGTTAAATTCTGTGTCAGATATTTGTACATAGTATAGTGTGCTTCACTTGTTCGTGGAGCACGAAATAATAATAAAAAGAAGTAATTAGATATGTTTTGCCAATTATTTTGTTTTCTTTCAGGTTATGACCATGCTAAAATAGTCCAACACAGAATAGAGATTCCTTCCTTTTGTATGTTATCTGAAGGACACTTAATAATGAAAGTGTCTCTTGAAAGAAGCATGTTAAGAATTTAAAAAAAGTGTAACAGCTGCAGAAAGAGAGTAATTTTGAGGTGAATTTGAAGCTGCTTTTTATTTCATTGGTGAAAGCCAGTATGAGCAGATCATACAAAGTGGACGCTCAGAACTACACGTGCTACAGCCACATCAGTGAGTGGAACTTTCTTGATCTGACTTTGTTTCAAATACAGTGAAGGATGGGGGCAGCCCAGTAAGGCGCCAAAGAGAGGCCTCTGCCCTGGTGCAGCTGAGATCTCCCTGCTCTGCCTTGGGACCGCTTCTCAGTCTGAGAGACCAGCCTCTAGCACCTTCTCTTCCTTTTGGGCTCTTGGTGTTTGTTGGGTTAAGCTGTACCTGTTCCATTACAGACCAGTGCTGGCGGCTCTCCCGGACCTAATGAGACCTAATGAAAGCCGCTGTTCTGCGGGCGCAGCTTCCCCCGGGCTGGATGCCCCCAGCAGCAGGCCCAGGGTCCCGTAGGAAGGCTGGGCTGTCCCTACAATCAGTTGTAGCTGTCTCCTGGGAGCTTGCTTTCTGTTTCCAAGGCTGGATACGTTCCTTCCATAAGCTGTGAGGCTGTTGCCCCAGGGTGGGTATGTGGGGGGAAACATGTTTTGCTTATATCAATAATAAGTTTCCCCACTGGAGCTTAAGTGACACGGGATGGCAGTTTGTCTTCTGCTTAGATTATGGTGAGCACTGGGACCTGCACCGAGGTAGGAGCTATGTTGGTAGCCAGCTCATGCCTGTGCCAGTCAGATCAGCCACTCAAACGTCTCAAAGAAATATTTCTACCAGGTTTGTCCTTGTGGTTGTGTGTTTGGTTTTTTTTTGTTTGTTTGTTTGTTTTTTTGTTTGTTTGGTTGTTTTTTTTTTTGTGAGAATATCATAATTTTCCATGGGTTGCTTCCTCACTATTTCTTCCTGGTATCTGGGTTTCTCATGGTCCAGCCAGGCATCTTGTTTATCCTTGTGGTCCTTTCACTGTAACTGTTGCCACAGCAGCTGCAACTTCCATTGCTGTGTCAGAAGGTGGAATAGCTGCAGGTAGGATGGTGTTTGTGTAGCTTTTACTAGAACTGCTGCTGCATCACAAGAATCCGCTGCATCACAAGAATCCACTGCACCAACAATGTGGCTGGCATTTCTGGTTTGCTATTTAATGAGGCTCTCTGAATTCAAGTGGGCTTTTTATTGAACTTGTTTTCCCTCCTACAGTTTTACTCAGTTGTTTCCTGCCAGATCCAGAATCAAGGAATAAAACCCACCCTCTCTTTCCAAAACCAAGCACCAATGCCCTGCAAAACATTTGTAAGACTAATTTCTTTTATCTACAGGATCCTTCCATCTCATGTTTGTTTGTTTGTTTGGGGTTTTGTATTATTCATTTAATTAAAAATACTGTTTCCTGCAGTATATACCTCTAGCTTTCTCTCCTCAGGCACATGTACTTAGAGTTGTTACCAGCTGCTCTGCCACATCCTTAAAAATTCCAAAGTACTCTATTCAGTGAAGTAAGCAGTGGTTTAGAAGAACTATAGGCAAGTAGAGAAATGCCAGATGTAGGGACTAGAAAGAGTGTATTAGCTTCAGGTAAT